GTGCTGTGCCGTCGGGACGAGCGAGAAACCTTGGTTTCGCGTGTCTGGGATTTAGTCAGCCACTGGGGTTTGCTGTCGGTCTGGTACTAAGCGGTGTTATGATTGAAAGAGCTGGATGGCGGGTAGGCTTCTATTTGACCGGAGGCTGTTTATTGGCTGTTGCTGTGGGAGCCATTTGGACTCTACCTAAACTTCCTTCTCAGAACCAAGATGGTGTCGTTGCACTTTGGAAGAAGGTTGGCAGGGAGATTGACTGGGTTGGTGGCATGATTTCCAGCGGCGGACTAGCCATTCTTGCATACGTTCTAGCGTATGTCCTTTCCGTTCTATCGTAAGCGTATGAAACAGCTAACAGCGTGTAGTATCATCAGCGCCGATCTGACAAGCATTCGTTCAGCGGAGACGGCCTCACTCCTCGCTGTCAGCATTGTTCTTCTCTTCGCCTTTCCAGCTTGGATGCACTACCGTGAACGATGCGGCAAGCCAGCCCTTGTACCGAACAAGCTGTGGAACAACCTTCCCTTTACCAGCACATGTATCATGGTCGCGCTATCATACGGCGTCATGAACTCGATTGAACTCTTCTCCAGCCTCTAGTATGTATTTTCCGGAACATACGTGTTCTCGAAATGATATCGATTCAGTAGTATCTTAAAGCTAACCTTCAAAACAGCTTCCAAGAAGTCCAACACGCCTCGACGCTAGCAACATCCCTCTACCTTCTTCCAAACCTGACAACAGGTGTCTTAATCCAGGTATTCGTCGGCCTCTTCATCCACCGCATACCTGCCCGCTGGCTCGTCGCCGGCTCCGCATGCATCTGCGCCCTCTCCCCTCTCCTAATGGCAGTCGTACCTCCAGCTTGGAGCTACTGGAAGCTTGCTTTCTGGGCCCAAATATTTGCTCCTTTCAGCGCAGATGTCCTGTTCACTGTTGGTCTCATCATCGTCAGCGACAACTTCCCAGAGAAGACCCAGGCGTTGGCGGGCGCTGTCTTCAATACCGTCGCGCAATTTGGTATGAGCCTGGGTATGGGTAGTTGTCAGGTCGTTGCGTTGGGAGTACAGACCAAGAGTGGGAGTACTGCGAGTACCGGCCACGGTGATGGGGAAAGCGGAGCAGCGTTTGAGGATCAAGATGACGTGGCTTTGTTGAAGGGGTATAGGGCGAGCTATTGGCTTATGTTTGGTTACATGATTGTTTGCATGATGATCGCTGTTGTAGGATTGAAGAAAGCAGGCAAGGTTGGACTGAAAAGAGAGTAAGAGCTCGAACTTTGGAGAGTGTTGATGGCTTCAATTCAATGAGAAATGAAGCAGGTTGGCTTTCACAGTTGCGAAAAGATGACATATCGTCAGACTGTCGATGCTTGAATTCTCAGCAATACGTTCAAGGGTCGGTTGCAAGACATGCGGCAGCTTCCAGAACCGAGGGCCTGGCCTAACATTGCGGCACAAATATTGCGAGCAACGTCGCGAAGCACACTACGATCCGAACAGTCTGGGACGTCATGTACTGTCGGACAGTGTATCGAAAGGCCATCTCGTATTCATCTTCTAGTCCTGCTTCCATAAGCCAAGGAACAAAGCGTTCGCACCAACTTGTCCACGCGAGCACTACCACCAAAGGGCAACAGGTATAGAAACCGCATCCAGTGTGCTCGGATCTAGCAAGGACGACCGTGAAAGTAATTAAGAAGGAAATGAGAACCTCGACTAGGCAATCTTTGACAGTGTTCACAGTTGCCGGTGATAGTACGGCGTGGAAGTTGTTCTGTAGAGCATGTGTGTGCGGGAGGTAATGAAGTTTTGTGTGGCAGAATCGTGGTGCCAAGTCACATCGGACTAAGGTCAAATCTGGCTCTTGAGGTAGCTCTACCACGTTGTAACTCTTTGTATATAGTTACTATTCGTCCTCTAAAAGGATGCTTACATCGGAACTTGGTGTGGTTCACGCAATTCGTCATATCCTCGATTAGTCTACGTGATAGGCTCTCTGGAGTAAATAAGAACATGCGCGCCTTGCTGATACAATTTTGCAACTTTCCGCTGTGGAGCTTGGACAAAGAAGTGATAAGAGCAGATACTTCATATGTTTTTGAGATCTTGGATGTGATGGATGGAGATTGCCTTTGATGTGTACTGCCAAGAGACCATGTGCACGTGCTTGCGCCGCAGCCGACTTGGAAAGCTTCAGCGCGCCGAGCCTCCCATCACGTTCCCTTGGCCTTGTGACACGATGAGATATTAACTAAACATTCGTCAAAGACGAACAGCCGATCGCTTTCACCATCAACCGCTTGAACAGTAACATTTCACAGTCATCAGGCTCCATCAACAATCATTGTACCACGGTAACCACCAGACAGCCCCCAAAGTCATTACAATTGTACCTCATACTAAGGCACAAGACCAATGACCGTTGTCCTATGAGCTTCAAGTCTTAGCAGCTCTAAAGACAACATATATTCTCGCTTGCAACACTAAAAGATCGCCCATGGTCTGCTCGACACTAAACGGCTACTCCCGGCTCCTCCAACGCAGATGCGGAAGGTCGTACTTTACACAACCCCAGATTCGCACCGACCCCGTCGCTAGCACTCCACTAAAATCGAGATAGAGACAAACACAAAAACACCGACGCGTGACCATTCGTTGATGGCAAATCTAGGCTTTCATGTTCCTACTGGTTTAGGCAGTTCGTTGGCTACGGCTGTTTGGTCCCCCTGCAGATCACCGGCTAGGCGCATAATGCTTCTGTCGCCTTCGAGCTTATCGTAGTCTTGGGATATTAAATGCCAAGCTGACATACAGATTGTACCACTATAATGGGAACAGCTTCCTTGGTGAGGATCTGCCCCGTGGGAGATTAAAGCCAGTTTGGCAGGTGGGCTGCGGGGGTGCCGTTACTGGATCAAAATGTGTTTGTCGCATGGCTACGCAATATGAGATGCTCTGCAACTATATAACCTAGGTGCTACTCTTACTCAGAATAATTTCTTACGCTTCTCATTCACCGGTACTGCCATCACTTTGCGGCGATGAAGCTCCTCAACGTCACTCTGGCCTCTCTAGGCCTTGCATCCGCGGCTTCAGTTACAAAGAAGGTCAGCTACGACGACTGGAAAGTATATCGCGTCAACGTTGGCTCCAACGCTGCCAAACTCGACAATGTAATGAGCAAGCTTCAATTGGAGCTATGGAAGGGAAAGCCAGCGTCCAGTGACGTCGTCGACGTCATGGTGCCTCCTACAGCCGTGAAGGACTTTGAAGCATCTACGGAAGACATCGAAACCAAGGTCATGCATGACAACCTTGGTCTCTCTATTGCAGACGAAGAAACCTTTAGCGTATATGCTGGTACGTGGAAGACCGTTTCAATTAATCTGTACCCTAAAACCTAGCACCCCTGAACATATACGTCATTCCTTTCCTTGTAGGTTTTTAACACAGAACACTCTGCATACCTTTGGGTTGTAGTATGGGTGGGGCAAAACTCTGAAAAATGCGCGCTCCAGTACATTTGCTTTACAAAGCGGCATCATGTGAACATGGCGCTAACATTGAATACCAGCCGGCGCTGCACCAAGTGCTACGTGGTTCAACTCGTACCATTCCATTGCCGACCACATGCAATGGATCACGGATCTCGCAGCTGCATACCCAAACAACGCTGAAGTAATCTCTGCTGGCAAGTCGGTTGAGGGCCGAGACATTAAAGGTATCCATATCTGGGGTAGCGGTGGTAAAGGGTCGAAGCGAGGCGTAGTCTGGCATGGTACAGTGCACGCACGAGAGTGGATCACGACAATGGTACTACCAACCCAATGAAAAACGTTCACCGCCATACTAATACTTCTAGGTCGTCGAATACGCTGCGTACCAGCTTCTCACCTCCACCGACTCCACCACAGCCGGATTCAAAAACTCATACGACTTCTACATCTTCCCCATTGTGAACCCAGATGGCTTCGCGTACACCCAATCGTCTGACCGCATGTGGCGCAAGAACCGCCAGAAGACTTCCGGAGCGTCTTGCGTCGGCCGTGACATCAACCGTAAGCACACCCTTTACACCTACGATATGCATGTGAAATGATATACGCTAACATCATGATCTTATCTCAGGTAACTGGCCATCTCACTGGGACCAGCGTGCCGGCGCATCAACCGACCCCTGTGCACAGGACTACAAAGGACCTTCCGCCGGCGACGGCGTAGAGACTAAACTGCTCAAGGCCCAGCTCGACAGCGTAGCTGCCGGCAAGGGAATCTCGCTGTACATGGACATTCACGCTTACAGCCAGCTCTGGATGTACCCTTACGGCTACACCTGCTCTGGTACCCTCCCCAACTCTGCAAAATACGCCTCCCTTACCAGCGGCGCCATCGCCGCCGTCAAAGCAGTGCACGGAACAACATTTACTGGTGGTCCCATCTGCCAGACTATCTACCAGGTCAGCGGCGACAGTGTGGACTATGCCTTTGAGGTTGCCAAGGCAAACTACTCGATGACGGTTGAGTTGAGGGATACTGGTAACTACGGATTTGTCTTGCCAGCTGCGCAGATTCTGCCTAGTGGTGAGGAGATGTGGGCTGGATTGAGGTATCTGTTGGCCAATTTGTAGTGTGAGTCGTTAGAATTGAGTAGTAAGCGGAGTTCAGGACAAGTAGGAAGCGTGAGAAAGGTGAATAGCATGGCGTTTGAACAGATGTAAGGAATAGCGAAAAGTCGAGTGTCGACCGTGACAACGTGTATTCCACGTGCAGCGAGATATCGATCATGTGAAAACCTAAACTGCTCATTTACAGTGACCGTTGAAGAATGTGTCAGATGCAATGGAAAAAGTACCCGATTGTTCTGCTACAAAAGACTAGCTATGCTTGGACAACAACTGTGTCTGTTTTCATTAGACATGACGAGAATGCATCTCACCTGACTGTGTAGACACTCGAACCCTCACCCCATATGTCCACCGGTCGAACAAGTCTGAAGCCTCCTTAGGCTCTGTGAATAGCCTCCGCTAGCCCATCAATGGAACATTCCATAGTAAAACAGATATAGCAGTGAGGACCACGCGTATCCTCAATGCAACGGGAATATCGACATTCCTTCAAGGTCTTGAAAGTGCCGTTCTCGTACAGGAAGACAGCAGTTATAGAGCCATTGCGTCTATTAATGATGCCGCAGTACTTTTCGCCCTCGACGCAGCAGTGAAAATCTGGAGGTGTGTGTGCAGGATTATCGTCCCTTCCAGCAAGAGTAGTGACTTTGTCATGGTCGTCGGCAACGGCAGCAGCATCCAGCCACGAACATGTAGAGAACCCTGGGTCGTCATGACAGCGTTCCCATGGTCGACATTGCATATGCGTTTTCCAGAACCCGTTTTCGCATCTGAAGAGTGTGCCTCCGTTTCCATCCTCGTTGCGGAGCATGCACTTCGGTTCGCCCTCGATACACTGGTGCGGTTTGGTCATGTCGCGAGAGACGATGGGCATGCATTGAGGTTCAGGATCTCTGTTGCAGCGGCATGGATCGAGAAGCTCCCACTTTCCGTTCTTGCAGATTTGGATGCCGTCGTGGCCGCGGTCGTAGAAAGTCAGGCATCGCTTTTGGCCTTCGTCGCACTCGGCCTCTCGGCTCTTGTTTGCAGTGGGCGAAGGAACACAGGCACCATTACTGCAGGGTGATCTGCGGTCATAACAGGTGGTAACCCAGTCCCAGCCGTCTTCATTACACTGGTAGATCTCATTGGTGTAGGGCGAACAGACAGTTACGCCTCTGTTGTACTCGGTGCACTCGTAGACCCTGTGGAGCTTGGCCTGAGATACCGTGGAGCCGAGCACCATTGTGGCGAAACCAGTGAGGGTGATGGCAATACTGAGTAGTACCATTGCGAAGATGTTGAAGTTGACCGATGTTTGTTATGGAAAATCGGTAGAGAAAGGCGGATACAGCAGGTCAAGAAGTAGACAGAACTGAGTGGGGGAAAGAGCCCTTCCTTCACTTGAAAGGCGCAGAGCCTACACAGGAAAGTGAAGAGCAGCCGAGTCGTCGCGCTTGTCGAAAAAATGTTGTATCATCGATAGCTTGGTTACTCCTCATGAAAGTTACAACTCACATACACGTTGGATACAGTTGAAGTGGCGCAAAACTTTCAAAAGAAAGCACGTCTTTAGAAGGGGTATATTTTGTTGCTGCAGTTATGTATTCACTACAGCTTCTAGGTAAGAAGATCTAGTAATTGAGGGGGTACTTTCAGGAAAGGATCCATCATCAATCGTCTAACCCAAAGACATCCATCACGCCGAACTTCCGTCACATGAAATCGTTCATCGTAAACATCAGGAGTGCCGCCCAAGGGTACAAGACCCATTGGGTCTATGCGCCACAGCTAGTCTCATGAGCCTAGACAGCAGCAGCAGGATTTGACTCCTTGTCCTTGTTGCTGGTTTCCTCACGGATCGGTAGCTCTGAGCTCGTCTCACCAGCGGTCTTTGCCGCGTCATCAGCGCCTGCAACAGTGACATTGGCGAAGTGCACCTTGCGGTCTGGGGTCTCCGAGATCCTTCTAAGCTCTGTGACGAATGACTCTCCCCACCAGGCACTATAAAATGTTAGACTGCGGTTCTCTCAATACAATCATGGGTACTCACCTAGTGTATTTCCGGACGTATTTTGAGAGCTTCTGGTAGTTGAGGCTGCGCTGTTCATCGCCCATGGTAACTGCGTCATGAATTGCATCTGCCAGCTCCTCGGTGTTCCACGGGTTGACAATAAGACTGCCGTTCAGACTTTGTGCGGCACCCGTGAACTCTGAAAGGATCATGACACCATGTCGTTTCTCTTGCGTCGCAATGTACTCGTAGGACACCAGGTTCATACCATCGCGTGTTGATGATACGAGGCAGACATCTGAGACAGCGTAGAGCGCGATAAGCTCGTCGAAGGAGACTGACTTGTGCATGAAATGGATAGGCATGAACTCGATGGTGCCGAATTTGCCGTTGATACGCCCGACAAGCTCGTTTACGACTGCGCGCAGGTTCTGGTACTCCTCGACATCTTGGCGAGAAGGAACGGCGACTTGAACAAGCACAACCTTGCCGATCCACTCGGGATGCTCGGTAAGGAAGACCTCGAGAGCATGTAGCTTCTGCGGTACACCCTTGATGTAGTCGAGACGGTCAACACCAACAATGAGCTTCACTCCTTGGAACTTCTTCTCGAGGGCTGCTATCCGCTCTTGTACCTTGGGCTTCTGAAGACCCTCGTCGAACTTCTCGGGATCAATACCAATGGGGAACGCGCCGACCGTGACGACCTTGCCTTGGAACTCGACTCCGTTTGGTGTTGTCGCGAGCCCCAGAATGCGCGAGCAACTGCTCAGGAAGTGACGAGCATAATCGTATGTATGGAAACCGATAAGGTCGCAGTGAAGAACACCGAGTAGAATCTCGTTACGGACAGGAAGGATTCGGTAGATTTCGGAACTGGGGAAGGGTGTGTGCAGAAAGAAGCCAATCTTGACATTTTGCTTGGTGTTGCCGAGCTCTTCACGGAGCATGGCAGGCATGAGCATCAGGTGGTAGTCGTGTACCCATACCATGTCGTTGTCTTGTACATCCTTTGCGACGGCCTTTGCGAACAGGCGGTTGGCCTCGGTGTATGCGTCCCAAGCAGACTCGTCGAAGGTAATCTCACCAGGGTGGTAGTGGAAGAGCGGCCACATGATTTCGTCTGTAATGCTGTCAGTAATGGCAACAACATGACTGTGTCTGGATGGTCTCACTCGAGAAGCCGTTGTAATGCCTATCCGCGAGTTCATCGTCGAGCATGACGGGTACTGCGTTGTACTTCTCCTTGAGCTGGTCGTTCAAGGTCTGCGTCTCGTCCTCTGGGACTTCGAGTCCGGGCCAGCCATACCACTGGAAGGTGGTGGTCTTGGAAAGTCCGCTCAAACCGCTGACCAGTCCTCCTGAGGACATGGACATGTCGTACTTGCCCTCATCGGAGCGCTTGATGGTAATGGGCAGTCGATTTGACACGAGCAGCAGGCGCCCCTCGGACGACTCGGGCTGCTTGAGTTTTGTGGGTTCCTCAGGCATTTTGGTAGTGATTGCCGGGGTCTTGGTCGGGTAGTGGGGTGGTGAGGGTGGTTGCGTCGTGCACCTGGTGAAGCGGGAAATTTATCTGCGGCGTAGGGGTATTTGGCGAGGTCAGCAATCACGTCCGCAACGTGTCTGCAGACGGCGAGCAGGCGGTGTGGGATGGTTCCTTTGGCGCGAGCGGGGAGGGATCAGTGATTTTAATTGTGGTGCTTGGGTGACGAAAGAATGATAATAGATCAAGGCCCGCTCGAAGGTGGAGGTGGGTTCTCGCAGGTTCCGAGCTCAAGCGTCCAGAGTTGGCACAAGACAGGGCACAGCTGCAGCCCGGGCAGATGCTAAAGTTAGAGAAGTTTGGGGCTAATGGGCGTCGGGACTGGCGGCATGCAGCTTGTTCGCTGACAGGTGTAGGCGATGTTGGAAAATGCTGAATGAAGCTGGCGGTGTCCGTGTGAAACTTGTGATAAATGTGACGTCGGTCGTGGAGCTGCCCAACGGACGCGGGGCGCTCACAGACCAACGCAGTACCAAAGGGCGGAGCCCAGCATTAACTATGGACACGCGCATTGCCGATATCCATATGCACTTGACGTGAATAGCATGGAGAATCTGATGCAGAACTGGCACATCGCCCGTCGCTCTCTTAGATAAATCCCCCGCAGCCTTTCATGCCACTTGACGCAATTGGGTGGTCTCCGCGGAGTCACGTGTGCGCTACCGGAGTCGTGCCTGCCCTAACCGCCGACGCCGCTGCCCGTTGCCCGTCGCCGCGTCTATCGCGTACTGGCCGTCGATCATCAACACCACCAACGCGCTGCGTACCATGTCGGACTCGGAAGCAGACAGGCCCTCTGAGGCCACCATCACCAACAGACTACGCGACATTGTCATCGCCATACACAAATCTGGAAAGAGCGATGATCTGACTGTAAAGCGCGTTCGAGCGCGCGCTGAGAAGGAGCTGGGTCTAGACGACGGCTTCTTCAAGACGGACTCGGCTTGGAAAGAAAAGTCGCAGAAAACAATCGTCGACGCAGTGGTATGATTTAAACAGGCCATGTCTCCAACAAGCATCTAAGACCGTCTAGGAGAAATTCTGCAACGACGAGCCTTCGCCAGAGCCTACCCCCAAAAAGGCCGCCCCGAAGCCCAAACCAAAGCCCACGGAAAAGAAGACAAAAGCTGCGACCGAGAACGCCCGAGGCGTCAAGCGCAAGGCTGCGGCACCTGCCAAGAAGCCCAAGAAGCGCGCGAAGACAGAGTCTGAAGAATCCGAGGCTGAACTCTCAGAACCGCCCGCCGAGATGTCCGACGCTGAGAGCGAACCAACTAAGAAGCCAATACGTCGACGGAACAAGGTAGTGGCAGAAGACTCTGACGACGAGGATGCGCCAGAGCCAACTTCGAAACCCACCACCACTGCTGAGGACGACAGCGACGCCAAAACCGAGCCAGCGAAGAAGACAGACACAAATGGCGACGTATCCGACAGCGAGCTGTCTAGCGTCATAGATGAAGAGCCGAAGAGAAAGAAGAGAGCCCCTGCAGCCAAGGGCAAGAAGGAAAAGGCTCCCACAAAGCCAAAAGCCGCGCCAAAAGCGAAGGCTGAAGACGACCCTGACACTGCTGAAGTTAAGCGGCTTCAAGGCTGGCTCGTCAAGTGTGGCATACGCAAAGTCTGGTCGCGAGATCCTGAGCTCTCCCAGTGCGACACCTCGAAAGACAAGATCCGCGTGCTAAAGGGCTGGCTGAAAGACGTGGGCATGGATGGCAAATACTCTGTTGAGAAGGCTGCTAAGATCAAGGAGCAGAGAGAGTTTGCAAAGGACCTCGAGGCTATCAAGGAGGGTGAGGCCGCATGGGGCAAAACGAGCGAGGTCACAGCTACGGGTCGACCGAGCCGACGGGCGGCAGCCAAACCTGTGCCACAACAGAAAGTTGTGCTCGAAGATGATAGTGAAGAAGAAGGCGGCGATGACAATGACGACGACGATAACGATGATGATGACGACGTTCAAGCCGACTCGGAAGACGATGGCGACGACGACGGCGATAAGAGCAGCGACAGTGAAGGTGAAGACTCCGAATAAGCTCCTTTGGCGATAGTCTAAGCCTCCTTTACGAGCCGCTCTTACGTGCACATCTCGACGTGGAGCATACAGACTCACACTTAATACATACAGTTGGTCCTTTGATGGTGTAGTAGGACGTTTTGATACCCCATAAAAGCATATGTGTTCTCTCTTAGCCTTGCATTCCTGTTTAGTTACTTCGTGTAATTGGCCAGCTAATCTCAACAAAACTGATCTCATGCTTCTGTCGAGATACTTCACGTCTTGACCCGAAAGAAAGGTCGAATTATCTATCACTCTACGTACACACGGTGGAAAAAGAATGGAAACACTATCTGGAGGGTTTGTTTGGCGGTGGCGACGATGGAAGCTCAGGCGAGGCTGGACCCGAAAGACTAGAAAGAGATGACGAGGAGTCCATGCTAGGTGATGCTACTGCAAAGTCGAAACCACCGATCCGACCATTGGAATTATGTGTGCCTTCATGCTTTCGCTTGGCACTGGTTTCACTTCCGTTGGATAACCCATCTTCGTTTGCATGGTCTTCTGCTACCGTAAAATGAACCTCCAGACTGGCTGAACGCGATACCGTATCTTCCTTCAACCGGCGCGTACGTAGGGCCTTGATCTTCCGGTTCGGATCGACAAACGAGAGAGGTGCTCGTGTACGTTGCGGCGAGAAAGGCACGTCTTGCTCTCGTTCCAACGCCGGAGAGTCACCACTGTCCTCCGTGGCTTGGTCTTCTAGCTGCTCAGTCCTACCCACTCTTGCATTCAGAACTCCGCCTGCTATTGACAGGTCAGGTTCCTCCGGTGCTCTACAGACTTCGGGTTCGGTATCGGAGTCAGAGTTGGAGTATGAAAAGCCGTATCCTCCTTGCTGTGTCTCGGGCTGCTCCTCAACCTGATTCTGTTCGATCTGCTGAAAAGGTTCTGGCGCAGAACTTGCCAGCATAAGTTTCGATGTGCCGTTTGCATCCCAAACAAGTTTATTTCCATGCTCATCTTCAATGTCAATACGCTCAGCATGATCCACGCATGGGATCTTGATATGCTCCGCCTTGCAATTAGAAGCCGGCTCATCTGCTAGTAACCCTTTGTAAAGTTTATATCCCAAGTTTCGCATGTTCATTGTACCGGCTTTGTACCGTTTGTGCTTTTGTATGCTTCTCGGGATTGGCTTGTCAATGCGGATCTGCCTCGCTGCCTCGCGGATGCGAAATGTCAAGAGCCTGTTGAAGGATGGCTGAAAATCGGGGTTGAAGAAGTGTGCGAAGTCCGGATTTGTCAATCCCAGACCACATCCCCGATGCTGTAGTATCAACAAATAGACGAGGTAATCTATTTGTGTCTCACTACCATTAAGTTCGATGCTGATCTTTTGAGATGACTGATCGGCTTTCCCAGGCGTTGTCTTCGGCTTTGAAGGCTCAAACTGGCGAAGACAAGCGAGTACATCACTCAGGCGGTCTAGTACCAGTGAAACGCTTTCAGCTTGGCCAAACACCCAGAGTACTGTATCTGTGAAAAGTTTGTTCGGCGCCTTTTGCGTCGCCAACTGCTCTAGTACAGGTAACCATTGAATACAAGCCCAGAGCTTGTCTAAATAAAGCCCATGATAGCTGGCCGGTCGTAAGTGGGAGAAGAAGTCTCGTAATTGCGGATGCGGTACACCGCCGGGCTGAGTATCAACATAGGCATCAAACTCCTCCTGCAGCTTGAGCCCTCGTTTCTCTCTTTCTCTTAGGTAGTTGCGGAGGTTTTCCAGGTCTTGATATTCAGCTTGGTCATACAGACCTACGGCATCTTTTTTGACGTGCGCGTACTTCTGGAGGACACCCTCGTCTTCCCCTCGCGGTTCGATGTCGAGCTTGGCGCGGCAGTCTTCGCAGTGGTTGAAAAGATGACTTGTCGCCACGATACATGTCGCAGTATCGTTCGAGAACTTGCATGGTGCCGGAGCACAATCGATGCCTTGTTGAAGATTTCTGTCCGTTGCCCAATCGCAAAGTAGCGTATGCTCTACAGTGTTAGAAACATGCTTGTGGCCACACACTGTGTGATGAATTATAGTAAAGCCGCACATGATCGTGCAATACAGTGGTTGAGCCACGGAGCTGGTGCTTTTCGGGGCTTGTTAATAAGTGACTAGACCGGGGGTCAAGTCTGAATTGGTTTTTTTTGGGGGGGAAAAGCAAGTAAATTCATCCAGCACTGTTGAATAGAAGAGAATGTGAAAATATACAGGGCTGAGCACTCCTTGATGTGGTCAAAGAGCGGTCTCGTGTCGTGTCTCGAAGCTCTTTACAATGTCGTCTATAAGAGAAAGTAACGTGACACAGACGTGAAAGAATGCGATTATATATTGGGTCAAGATTGTATCACAGACTGAATCAGTCTCGACAAAGAAGTCGTTCACGCCGGACAAGGTGCCAAATAAGACGGTGTTGTTTTTGAGAGGAAAACCTTCGGGTGTATATATGACAGCGAATGTTTGCTCTAAAAGTGTTGTAAGACAAACCAGACAAGTGAACGTCTCACTTCTTGTTGAGAGCATTGACCTTCTTCGCGTGCTCGTAAACGAGTTGTTTAGCCTCAGCATCGTCCAGGTATATTGTGAACCCGTCGTCATGATTCCTTCCGTACGAGAAGCCTGAATAACCAAATTGCCAGTACATGTCTGGCATCTTCTCCTTCAGACTGGTAGCTTGCCATAGTCCAATGGCTTCGAGTCTAGTGACATTCGAAGTCTTGCTTAGATACTCTTGTCTTTTGTCATCGGTCAACCAACCGTACTCTTCATGTACCACTGGCTTTCCGACTGCACGAGAGGCTGAGGCGTGATCGATGATCCACTGGTTAGCCCACTCGACGCTCTTTGACCACCCTGTTTTTGATAGTAGTCAGTGAGTGCGCAACATGAAAAAGGACTTCTTCCCTTTAAAGGGATATACATACAATCGGGATAAGTGTGGAAGGTACCAAAATCGACGTTCTTGAGCGCCAATTCTTTGTCATAGTCTCCACCATCGAATCCGTTGTAAAAGCCGTCATCGCTGGGTCTGTTAAAACCTCCCTCACCACCCCATGTAACAAGATGGTCTTTGTCAAGCGACTTGACGTATGTACTCATCTCATCGATCCATTCCGTGATTATCTCGGGTGTGCAGTTCTCACTACGGGGTAGGTTGCGCACGCCATCGGCACCGCATCTGGGTTCATTTGCCAGTTCCCACGCCATGATAGCTGAGGACTTCGCGTAACGTTTGACAATTGCCTTTACGTACTTCTTGTACGCCTTTTTTATGGCTGGAACATGGTAAAACTAGCGACGGACATGTCAGTGCACACTCGACCCGTTGAGACTTCATAACTTACATCGTCATGGTACTTGTAGCCCAGATTGATCGTGTATACATCCATGCCACCATAGTCGGCCCAGTTGTTAGTCAAAGCAACGATCAGCTTCATTCCTGTCTTTTCCGCAGCCTTGACGACTTTATCGAACGGCTCTAGGTTGATCTCTTGTGTGCCGTTGTTCCACCATTGCAGGACGTTTGGACTGGGACCAGCACCTTCACCACCGTACTGGGGTAGTCCGTTTGCGAGAGTTGTCCTGTTTCGGTCGTTGAAACCCCACGTCCTGAAGACATTCAAGCCCGCCTTCTTAGCTGCACCGAGGCCAGCTTCTACATCCGATTGAAGCTATTGATTGTCAGTAGGTGTAGCGAAGTAGAGATGATTTACACTGACGTCGTTGAAGGGAAAGTAGTAGGCATTGCTGCCGGCGAAGTAGAAGTCTTTTCCATCTAGCTTGAAGACATTGCCTTTGGTTGTGACAAAGCCAGCAGGTACTTTTCTACTCACTACTGCAGCCGAGGTGCTAGTAGTCAGCAGTAGGAGCGAGGCAAGACTGTAGAGCATGTTGAATAGGCTTTTTCTTGCGTACAGCACTATACAGTATACGCGCATTGCAAACATATGTACGTTTTCGGTTCATGAGCATTTCCACGCTATACCATTTCGGACACGGAGAGACGTCTCGCGAGATCGCCTTGCATCCAAAGTTAGTCTTCCCCGCGGTATATTGTGATCGCACTCGCCAAGTGTCCGATCCGCATGTCGATTGGTGCAAACGGACTGGGTCAAGCTTCCGTAACGTGAACCAGCTCTTCCAGAACATTTAAAGCCGGGAAAGACATACAAAAGCTATGGGAAACCGAGTACCTGGAACAACGGGCCTGCAGCTACTGTGCAATTTAATGTGCCCATCTTGACCCGGGCACCACGTGCCAAAGCATGGTCCACGTAAAATGGCAGCTAACCATGACCTAGTCGATTTTGAAGCCGGAGGTTCGCTTGCCGGTGAGTTTGTCTCTTATATTGGGAATAGCCTCCTCGTGTTTGTGACCTTGGACTTAAGAATTCTATCGAGCTTTGCCTTCCGTGGCGTTTTTCATCAATTTAAATGTCTTCGGTTACCTATAGTATCAGAGCTTTCATGGACGATGTACAAACGCTCGTATGAGTGCATATGTATGCGTGCAGCGCCGAGGTTGTAACGCGCAGACCGAACTGAGCCTTCTAGAAGTATATTGCTCAAAACGGAGAATTGGATGCAATACAGCGGGTCTATGGGCAAGTAGCATGCGACGCCGATCAGCAGCCAGGATACTGCACTGCGAGATTCAGTATTGCAATCCGTTGTGCCTGACAACGCGACTCCTCGGGTGACAGGACAAATCATGTGATTCTTTTTTGCCGTCCTGTTCCATGTAAGCTGCTTGGAAGAAGACAAGGCTACGAGAGGTGAATGGGAAAGGGGTCACAACGCTATCGACAGCGTGCTTCCTGGGTCGGAATGACATCATCGAGCGCGGGCGCCTATGCTAGTGTGTCTGGTGGATGGCTTCGATCATACTCAAAAAGCTCGCTCCGGGTTTGTATTGCATTGCATCAAGGACACTTTCGTTGCTCGGCCGTGTCTTCCTTTCGTGGTGCAACGATGAGAGTAGAGGGGTGGCTGATTAGCCAAGACCGAGACGCGGGAAAAAGTGGGGAAATCATCTGCGTCGATCTGGAGGTTGACGCGTTATCGCTCACGCCTGATACTCTTCTACTACATGTACATCAGCAGCAATAGCACACTTTTGGTGTAGTTAAGGGATACCACTCTGTCTATATGTTACATCCTCTTTGCTTTTGAGTCTTCCTTCGTCATCCTGTATTCTTCGAGAGCGTCTGCATCGCACAATTCGGCATTGACTTACCTAGGTATCACGCAGCGCACCTCCATGACTCTCTCTCAACACACTGGTTCAGCGACACGGTTGTCTCACGCGAGATACAATTCGGCAACGGACGATGCTGTAGGGCTTGTCTCACACAATAACAGAATTCTGGCGTCACCAAAAGGGAGAAACGATTGATCATGAATGAAAGAGTATGGCATTATAAATTCGGTTCCTGTGACACAAAACAGGAAACTTAAATCCCCTTAGGTTGGACCTGAGAGAGAACATCTAGACTTTTGATTCGTCTGTTCGTCCGAGCGAATTAGGATCGACGTTCTCGGCCTCATCATACGACTGTCCATCCTCGTCCTTAATACCCGTTATGTGCGTAACGACTTTGGCGGCAAAAGTATCGCAACTGACGTTCATTGCTGTCCGGAAGCGATCAAGGAACCAATCGATGGCGATGACAACGGCGTACATTCCAGTGATAGGGATGTCAACACTGGAAGCAATCATAACCACCAGGACCAGACTTGAACTTGGAATAGGCGTCGTTCCGATCGACGCAAGGGTCGAGAGCAAGATGATGATGATGTAATCAGCTGCATTCAACGTAATACCTTGAGTGGCAGCCAGAAACACAACCACGATTGGAAAGTAGATAGCAGTTCCGTCCATGTTAATCAAACAACCGAGAGGCACGGCAAATTTCGTTACTATCAAGGGTCAGTGGAATTGGTAACAGAGATTCGATCACGCGAACTGACCTGTGATGGGTACTCCCTGTTTCAACACGCAACGGATGGTGACCGGCAAGGTCGCAGCGCTTGATGCGGTACCCCAAGCGGTGATCCAAGCAGGACTCATCTTCATCCAGAACGTATAAGGGTTGCTCCTGGTGAATGCGAAAAAGATAATGGGAATTATGATAAACAGATGGATAAACATGCCGACTAGTGTTCCTCCGATGAGTATGCCCAGGTTCGCGCCAATCTCAGCGATGTCGAGGCGGAAGAGGTTTGGCATGATCAGAAAGAACACTCCGATTGGCGCAAGGTGGATAAGGACCGTGATGATCTTGAGGACAATAACCTCAACTTCTTCGACTGCTCGGTGGATCGCGCCTCCTGGTTTGATGACATAGCCCAGGACGACTGCCATGACTAACACCGAGAGAAGGGCATCGGTGGCTAGCGCGTTGACGACGTTTTGTGGAACCAGCGAGAAGAACATGTCCTCGACGACATCGTGAATAGCAGTTTCTTTTCTCTCGTCCACAAGTTCCTGGTTGTCCTCGTCTAGATCCAAAGCACTGCCTGAGACTGGATTCATTAATTTGCTCCATACCAGCCCAACCAGGAGGGCGGAGTGGGCGACAGCGATGACGGTAGTAATCACATAGTAGCCAATCGTCCAGCGAGCGAGTTTACCGGCTGCACCACCTCCTTGCGTCATGTTACGCAGACGCTGAATAGCCAGAATCATGGCAGTGACAATCATGGGAAGGACTGAGCTTATTAGCATATGCATTTGGGGATGCTCTATCATGACATACCGACTGCCCTCAAAGCGCGTAACCAGAGGTTACCCGGGATCGCAAGAATGGTGATGGCTGCGGCTGGCACCTCGTCTACGGTGGTGGTAACGGCTAGACCGATGGCGATAGCCAAAAGAGCGGCGATGATGATTTGCCATACCGAACCTGGCGTCATAACTCTCTGGACAAATGTCTTCTTCTCCTCTTCAGCAACAGTGGGTCGCGGCATGATGTCCTCCGACGGGGAGCTATTCGGGCTCGAGGTGCGAACAGCTTCACCGTGCTTCATTCCTTCGACTTCGCCCATGGTTGGCAGGGTATCAAGAAAGTGATAAGGACGGGACTTCCTCTAACTCCAGGTCGACGGTAGAACAGTAATCGAGCAGTCAGTCTACTACATTGCGCGCAACAAGGGCATCTTATACATCCAACCCCGCCCCTTGGTATTTGCACATCATCTTGTGTGGCAACCAAGAGATAACGATTCTGTTACCAATACTTCGGAATGCGACCGTACTTTCGCACAATTCCCGTTGCCAACTCCTGCAGCCTATCACAAGGATAAGCGACTCATGTCCATGAACGTTGATTCGCTATATGTGAGTCTAGGTCGCGACGGCACGCCCGAAGATAGTCCACGCTTACCTCCCCAGAGAGCTCGGACATCAAAGCTCAAGCCTTGGAGTATTTGGCGGCGCTGGCAGCTATTGCACGATCTGGAAGGTTACAAGCAAATTCACGTTCCGAGTTCCGTCTCGTCGGGTCTTGGCCGATCATGGGTCGGTTGACCGGCTCTTCGTGCCAAGCCCTGGTATCATCACTTTCTTCGGAATATGTACATACTATTGGACTAATTTGGGTAATGGAACGCTGTGGGGTAATGTGGCTCATGTTGGTGTGGAGGAGTACGATTTCTGAGTGCTTCGTCGCGTATGTGTCGATGCTTGGCTGGCAAGGCACTGCGTCTGGGCGCTTGGTGCCATCGCGTGTGCTAAGATGAGACTGATGATAAGGGCATAGGGCAAGCATCGGCTCAAGATTATTCAAATGTGAGATGGGTGAGGAGTATAATCACCTGAGCCGATGCATCACTGAAACGATAGGAACCATTCAGAGACGATACAGGTCGGCCCCATATCTACGAGTGTACTAGAACCACTCTCGCGGATACATCTCTATTTTTCCAAGAGCTAGATGTCAAGTGTCCCGTCTGCTTGGATGCTAAACCAGGGCATCTTGCAACTGCATACCCATGCCGATCAACCAGGAAATTCTGGGCCCGCGAGCTCTACGTAGAATAGATTTTACGGCTTATCGACCCATTCTACTGGTCAAGAAACATTTAGAACGATAACCTGCGCCGAGATATTGGTACCAGCTTCCTGGCTCCGCTATCTGTTCGGAGCCAAGACATCACAGTTCAAGGGCACGGCTAATGCAGGAGTGTGGCTGTACATACCACCACTAGAAAACTTCCAACAGCAGCTCAGTGTTCGTGCGCATGGCTGATCTTATCAGCAGTTTCAACACTTGAGTACTGGGAGTATAAATGTCAGCCTACCACAAGACACCCACTAGACAAAACGCTGGGATACCCTCTTGATTATATGAACTCTATGTGCTTTCATGAGACAGTACCTGACAGTAAGTCAATGTCGAGTCTTGGTCGTGGGCCTTGTCACTGCCTGTATCTGCAATCCATGCTCAAAAATCCGAACAAGCATAGTATTCTACCTGACCGATGTTTGAATCACATCTTCGCCCACCCTTCTGAAAATGTCATGTTCCAGCAGACTTTGGTTTGGCCATCATATTCATCCTTGATCGGTGCCGCTTGGGCGGGGTTCCGATTTTTACTCTTTGGTGAAGGTTTTTTTGGAGGTGTCCTTGGAAAAGCTTTACTGGGCGTCATTGTACCTGCATCAGTATTCAAACCATAGTCGTCCGCCGATATTGATCTCCAATTCAAGAAAGAGAGGACAGGTGCCAAAGACGTAGTATCCAAATCTATTGGGATCAACGGTTTGCTCCCCCTGGGCCGATCCTCAGTAACCCAAGCTTCTAGGTCATCATCGATGCGATATTTGTAGGATTGAGCCAACAGTGGCCCTCTCCAGTGCTCACCGGCGACTCTACCTAGCAGTTTCATC